AGAAAGCGAGCATCAGGGTCCGATTTGATGGTGGCCTCCACATTAGGGTAGTGGGAATGTTTCTCGATTCTGGTTTGCAGGAAATAAAGCTGACGAACACATCCGTACATGGTGGCTGCCTGGAAGGAAACTTTAGAGAAACAACCTTCTCCTTCGCTGACCATAAAATAATATTGATTGGCGCTGTGCGTACCTCAGCCAGGCAGGTGGTCCATAGGTGGAGGATGTGCTGACGGAGGCGGGTCCGTTCCTGGTCCTGTGACGGCTCCTCGCCACCAGCGTGCTGGGAACGCCTAAACGCGCTGTAGCGTTCTAGAAAGGCGAGGTCGTCTTCGTTGAGTTCCCTTGGTGTGGCTGTTGTTGTCTCCATGCGGGCAGGGGCAGTGGCACTGACGTGGCGTCGTTTTTTTGTCCCTTTTTAAAGCTTTCCCTCGCTCCGATGATTGGACACAAAAAAACCGCCAAACGGATCACACTTCAAGTCCCCACCAATCACATTTATTAAAAAGAAGCGCCATAAAATATTCGGATATTTTAGCGAAAGTCCGGACGAAAAGTTTGGCCATTTTTTAATTGGTCTGAGCCAAATATGCCACAGCCAATAGTTCTCCATTTATCATGGTTTCATCAATACTGGCATTTGAAACAACATCACTTTGTTCTTCACAGAGAACCTCAGTGCATCAGTAAGCAAGGTGCCCACTAAGGCCACCACTACCAGGAAGAATGATGACCCAACCAAGGCTGTGATCTTCAAGGAGAGGCATTACACCACCAGCTACCTTCAGTGTCAACACCATCCTCTCAATAATCAACCTCTCACTAAATTGTCCTCTATGGTCCCTCACACAGGACTGTACCACACCCTCAGTGGTGTACAAGACTTTGACAAACCCAAACATCAACCACAAAATTAGGAACTTCACCAAGCTCACAAATATTTGAGTGGGCAAGACTGAGACAATCCTCAGTTACATCAACCAAATCAATATGCTTATTGAACAGATGACTACCAACAACTACAGGTTCAAGCCCATGTGGATAATTTGCTTCCTCCATGGCCTACCACCATCATACACCAGTATTGCCACCATCACACTCAACTTCACAAGATCAGCCCTGCTACAACATGAGTCCTCCATCATCAACAGACCCACCACTACCTGGGATTGGGCAAAACTGTGGCTGACCCACACCTGGCCCTCCACATGTACACAACCCCATCTCACCACCCTGTGGGTGTGTCAACATGGCTAAGGAGGAGCAGGTAGCCAATGCGCACCTGGTCCTCGTTGGGGATCACAAACTTGTTATAATTGTAGCCCCTGCCTGAAGCTGCCAGCCACTCCTCACTTACAGGAGGAGGGTGGCAAGGGCGCGCTGGCAAGCCATGACGAAGTTGTTGTTGTGCATGCTCCCCACAGTCTCATCATCCAGGCACTCACATTGAATGGCACCTAGGTGCAGAGTGAGGATGACCTGTCTGATGAGTCAATGGCTCCAGGTAGTGCTGCTTGGCGCCGTCAATAGTTGGCGCACCTGGAAGTCAGTCCCATTGCAAGTGTCAGAGAGCTCAAGCCCAGCGCTGGCGCATGTGTACACCATCCACTCTAACCCCAGGTTGACCTCAACACCAATGGAGAACAGCAAGTAAGGGTGACCACAAGGCGTACCAGGACGGACTGGTGGAAGCACACGCCACCTAGCTTAAACGCGGCCACGCCACTGTAGCCAGAGTTGGACACATTGGCAATCTTGTGGCCAGCATCACCACCATGAAGGCATTGAGCACTGCACCACCAGTCAGCTCCAGCAGACCACCTGACACTGACTTGTGGTGTGTCGTTAGCAGGCGTCAGGCGGTGATGATGACTCCACCAGAAATGAATAGGTGCATACAGGTATTGAGGCTGGAGGAAGGCACACAGCTGCCAGCAGCGCCTCCAGCTGCTTCCTGGACCTGGCACACACACAGCACGAGTGATACTCTCCCGCCTCCCATGATGGTGCAATGAACCACAGCCCACCACTATAAGCCACCCACCACACTGCCAGGACAGTAGACAGACACAAGGTGACAATTTCCCTTCACAAGATGAATAAAGGTTCTCAAAGCCAGCACATTTTGTTCACATGTGCATGGGCATTACTTAATAATCTGCATCTAATTGGCAAAACTGCTTACCAGGAAACAGAGGGACAGCCTTGGATGCCTTGTTCATCTCCTCTGCAATCCCATTTAAGGTCTTTTCTTGCATCTTCCACTCATTTTCCATTCAGATTTTGTGCATTAAACTGGTAGAAGTGGACTGATGACACCAGTCTGTTTCTGGAGGGTGTGCAGATACTGGTGTTACAGCCCTTGGTTCTGCTTATACATGCCCAGCACCATACAACTGGTGGGTACATGCACTCAACTGGTCCTTCTCTTCATGCAACCTTTGTGTCATGCCTATAGGGAATAGGGGTGAGTAAAACAACAAGTGAAGGTGATATGAAGTCAGTACTGGAGGAAGATTGTGTTCCTTGAGTTCCTCACCTGTAACCAGGCCCATCAGGTCCTCTCCAACCTGTGGGTCACCATTTTGGGACTCATCTGATGCTTATGTGATTGTCCCCATCTCTTCCAATCTTTATCAGTGCTAAACATAAATGAAAAATGATTCATGAAGAAGCACCCAGCTGACACAATGCAACACCCACACCCAACCAATGATGCCTGTGTGGGGAAGAGACCTATTGCATCCTCATCAATGCAGCCTGAACACAGAGGTGATGATGTGCATGTGCATAAGAAAGCACAATCCAAACATTCTGTAAAGCAGCCCCCTCATCCACAACTTAAGCAATTCAGTGAGGCCAACCATGGAAAACCTTGGAAGTGCAAGTGAAAGCATCCTGACCAAACATGCCCACAAGAACTCTAAGCCTACAGTCACCAGGGTCTGTAGTCTGTAGGTGAAGGAGCTACTGATTCTAACCAATTACTTTGCATTGTAAATATTGCATGAAATTGAAACATTTACACCATTCACCTTTTTGTCCACCTCTATGGCTGATTTGCAGTGAGTGGACCAGACTGTTCTTGCATTCTTCTGGAGGGGGTTGCTGCTTCGCCACTGGCTCATATCAGTGTGGGTCAACCAGCACCAGCACCTCGGCATGCCTCCAGCTCAGTGAGGAAGGTCAGTTACTGAAAAATGTACAATGGATGCACTTGAACACAATCCCCAACAAGGAACCAAGCACTCTATGAGAGGCTGCTCTTGGAGAGGGCGAGGGAGCCGAGGCCGCTCTAGCCATCATTGACATGAGAATGGCAGACAACGAACATGCTTGTGTCTCAAAAAAATCGCACAGTAGAGACTAAGCTGCTTTTTAAGTCGACTGAGCCGCTCCTGGTTTTTCAGTTACAGCAGGAGGGCAGCAAAGGCGCGCAGGCAAGCCACGACGAAGTTGTTGTCGTGCACACTCCCCGCGGCGGCCTCCTCGTCCGGGCACGCGTTGAAAGGCGCCGCGGTGCAGGTGCAGGGCGAGCACGACCCATCGGCCGAGCCGTCGGTCAGCGGCTCCGGGTAGTGCTGCTTGGCGCCTGACCCGCGGCAGTCCCTGAACGTTGACAGTTGGCGCACCTGGAAGTCGGTCCCGTTGCGCGCGTCAGAGATCTCGAGCCCGGCGCCGGCGCACGGGTACACCGTCCACTCGGACAGCTGGTCGAGCCTAACACCGACCGAGTACCCCGGGGAGAGAAGCTCCGTGCCCTGACTGCCGTCGATGAGGCGCACCAGGCCGGACTGGTGGAAGTGCGCGGATGAATAGAGCTCGAACGCGGTCGCGCCGTTGTAGCCGGTAATGGACGCGTTGGCAAAGTTGTAACCGGCATCGCCGCCGTGAAGCACCATGTCGCCCCGGGCCTTGAGCACCGAGCCGTAGGTCAG